TGTAGATTTAGGTCTTCTAGTTCTTGAAGCAGTAGTAGCTTCTTGTCCCAAAATTGGGCATGAGATAAGTAATAAAAGAAATAGAAATGCCAAAATTTTTGATGTCATCGTAGAGTCAATTGAAAATAAATATGAATAAGTAAGGAAAAAAATATATTATTCAAAATTAGAAAGCGAAGGTGAAAAATGTTCGAAGCTTTTATCATTTATTAAGCATATATGATACGTAATTAGAAATTTTGTGGCTAAGAGATCTGTGTGGCTAAACGTTGCCGAATACAACACGGGACGAATTCCCGAGATGACAAAATTCGTCATGCTAGTAATCGTGGCTGTGATTATTAAATGTCACAGCTGATGCTGAATATTGGGGCCTACTTTGATACAAAATTTATAATTTTATGGGGTGTATTTTTTTTAGCTTTTTTGTAATAGTTAGACTAGAATTTAGGGTTAGAATTGTTAATAAAAGAGTATATGTAGGTTTTAGTAGGTGTAATGGATCCAAATTAAGACCCCAAAAGTCAACATCAGCCAGATTCAGCATCAGCCGTGACATTAAATATGTATATGTTTCGAACTGTGATCGTGGCTTCACTTAAATTAGAGTGGTATCCATTATCTGTTCAGATAAAACGGAGATAGCCATATTTGTTCATTCGTTCTTAACTAATTCCTCGGATAACAAGAATTATTATTGTGCGGACACTTATAATCATTGATTTTATCTCACGTTATGACATAATCATAATAAGCCCGAATTAAAACTTAGTCAGCCAATGATAACTTGTAAAGCATGATCAAAGGATAATTCGATTTAATTATCTGAAATCAGAATAATTAGTCAAATTTGGATTATCCGGAGAAAGTTCTATCTTAAAACATGCGCATATTTCAAGTTTCAAGTCTCGAAAAGGAAATTAGCAAATCAGACTATCCCGTCATAACGATAAATTTATATAATAAGGTCAAATTTGGATTATCCGGAGAAAGTTCTATCTTAAAACATGCGCATATTTCAAGTTTCAAGTCTCGAAAAGGAAATTAGCAAATCAGACTATCCCGTCATAACGATAAATTTATATAATAAGGTCAAATTTGGATTATCCGGAGAAAGTTCTATCTTAAAACATGCGCATATTTCAAGTTTCAAGTCTCGAAAAGGAAA